TATATCCTTGATCATACCAGCTAATAAGACACCTTTATTAGTAAGCCAGGTCTGAACTGGGTCTGCCACCTGCAACCTAGTACTGTTAATTTACACCAACAACAATTTTTAACCACTGGGAATTCAAAATGTAAGAGAGGTCATAAACTTTTATGATATTACCAAACTATACTCAAATTATTCCTAAATATTCTTACTGCCTAAAATAGTCTTGCCTCCCTAAAGTTTGTGCCACCTTGTAAAGGTCTCTAAGCCTCCTCTAAACTGTTTCAACCCATAAATTTTCTTTTTCTGCTGCCTTTCTAAGCACTTTCTGTGAACCTATTCAAGCACTCAATTACTTCCTCCTTTATACCATTACTCAGTCCTCATGCATCTGTCACCTCATCTCAGCTAGAGGCTCAASATATAGAAGCTCAAAGCCTCTACATCTCTGACAGTGCCTTGCACTCTACTATGGACATTCTAACAGCAGGCCTCCAGTTTTCAAAAAGTTACCAAAACATGAATGATTCCAGAGCATGAAAATGAGCAAGTTATAATCAGATCAATCATATTTGAAAAATCAAAGGTGACTACAGACACTATGAATCACAGTAGAAAACTTATCTTTACTGGGAATGAGCTTGAAAGGATGTTGCTTAAGAATGTTCAAAATTCATTCATTCATATGTCCATCCATTCACCCGGTATTTATTTGATCAATCACTTGCTAGGTGCTAAGAATGCAACAGAGAATAAGGTCCCTGCTTGGTAGTTAGCTGGGCTGTGTATCCCTCCCACATCCCCCCAAAGAAAGAGTTCTTTTAAAAAAAAAAAATGCTTAGTGGGCCCTAGCATTTTTCTCAGTAACACTAATGCCATAATATTACATAATGAGTTTATGCTTTTAATGTGAAGCACCCAATAAATATATACTTGCAGAACATTAAACCAAAAATGGGGGAGGGACTTAGGTATATACTCTAATAGTTTAAACACAATTTTTTTAAACAATAAATTTTTTCCACCAAAAAGAAATTATAAAACAGATAATAATGGAMGATCCCAACCAACAAGGCAGCTGGGAGTTACTCAATTTGGGAACCATTGAGAATCAGTTTGTGCTGGAGCTAGGATCAGGCCAGACTGTTCCCTCTCGGACTAAATCTCTTTCCACTTCATCTATTTGCTGTGTTGGACCAAGAATATGCTCAAAATGTGTGTTTAATGAATTAACTAATCAAATACAAACATGATAACTATTTTCTTTCTTGAAATTGGACCAGTGTGAGAAATGAGTCACCGAGGCAAAAGGTAACCTGAGCTATACCCAGTTTTTAAATCCTCTTTTCCTTTGAATGACAGTATCTTATTATTCCAAAATGATGATAGAAAAGAGGCAAGCAAAAGAGTGCAGAGAAGCCAGGGGAAAAGCACTATCTGGTAGGAGAAAACTCTATTTGAATCTATCTGACCTCCTTATGAAAGTCAGTTTGGGGATATTTGTTTCCACACTTAGTTCACATAAGGGAGTGACATATTTTATATATACACACAAAAGGCACACAGATGTACATGTACACGGGTATCTATAATCCTTTATTCACAATCCTGAAATCCAAAAGCCCTGCACACCAAAGATGGCTTTGTCCCTTATAGGGAAACTTGACCTAACATGAACCTGTCTGTGGCAAAACTTGACCAAAACTGACATAGGCTATTTATAGATTGTATTTTCCTCACTAAGAATATTCATATATTTCACTACAAAAAAAACAACAACCACAACCCTGAGGTTTAATTATAATGTTATATTTCTAGAAGTTTCTGATAAGAAATTGTATACTTGCATATAAATAATTCAACTAAAAAATCATGACCTCAAAGTAAATTATTTACCTCAAAAATACGTCTTAAAATATATACAATGGCAATTAAGATAGAATGAATATTTAAAATCAGACATTTTTGAGCTAAAAGGGATCTTGAGAGCATAGTCAATCTAGTGCTCTCATTTGTAAATGAGAAAACTAAGGCTCCCAAAGGTCACATGACTTGCCTAAGTCAAGGAGTTTACCACAGACAAGCTCCTCCCTGATACCCTCACCCCAAGGCAATGTATTTCTGTGACCATTAGTCCCAATTCTCAGGGCCTATCCTGTGGAGTGTCACCTCTGGGTCCAGTTCTACTTTTGTTTTATCAGAGTTCCCAAGGGTTCTCTAGAAAACACTTGGCTCAACTAAAGGAAAAAAATTTTTTTAGATGCTTTTTATATACTTCCCTCCCTCGATTATAAAATTTGGAGTAAGTATACAAATGGCTTCTCAAAACATAGCAACCAATACTTCTTACACTAAGAGGGAATTAAGATAATGAATTCATAGTTAAYAATAAACTTATTCCTTTAATCCATTATAATTAATTATTAATAAGTCAGTATTATTAACTATATGATCAAAGCATTCTATTTTCAGGGTATATTTCAAAATAAGGACTGAAGACATAAAATAATTCATGATGATAATAATAACCAATAGTAGCAGTAGCTATTACCATTTAATAAGGGTCTGTTACATGCCATGAATTGTTCAAGGTTCTTTACACACAGATCTTGTCTTCAGTATCTACCCTGCAAGGAAGATATTCTTGCCTTCGTTTTAAAGATGAGGAAGCTCAGAGAGTTTAAATATTCTTTTCAGATTAGACAAGAAGGATCCTGGTCTGTTTGAGAAACAGTAATGTAAACAGCCTCAGAGCCAAGTTGCCTTGGTTTGAAGCTCATCACTGGCATGAATTAGCTGCATTAACTTGTGCAAATGCCTCTGTTTTGTCACTTGTAAAATGGGTATATAATAGTATCCATGTCACAGGGTTGGTATGAGGATTAAATGACCTGGTAAGGCCTATGTTAAAGTGTGAGTTATTATCATGATCATCATTACCTGGAGCCAGCATTCAAACCCAGATCTGCCTAATCCTGCATCTCCTCTTTTCTACTCTGCGGTACAAGTTAACCACAGCCAGCTGCCTGTTTTCCACGCCACCTGTTGAAGTTCTTTGCCTCTCGTTCTCTTGTCTGTTTAAATTTTAAGGTCTTTGGCCATTTCAAAACAGTGACAAATGTCTTTTTTTTKGGGGGGGGGGCGAATAAATGAATGAAAGGAAAAAAGAAAAAAGGTATAAAAGATGAAAAATTCTAACAACTGGTATGCTTAAGTTACCTTTATAATGCAAGGGAGTTGATAGCTACTTAAAATTAATCAGGGTAAGAAGATCATCCAAAAGCTATGAGACTCTTACCTGCGCATAGATACATTAAGTTATAACACATGAAACAAAGGTCAACAGGTAGATAACATTAAGCAGCTATTCTATACTTACAAGTCTAGGGCTCTCTCATTCTTATCTATAGGCTCTTCCTTTTCTTTCTCTCTCTCTCTCTCTCTCTCTCTCTCTCTTTTGGTAGTTTCTAGAAATACATACTGAAAGTACACACTTGGAAGCATGCATATAATTCAGCCAGACATTAAATAGTCTGCATATACTGGCAGTATCTGACACTATATTTGAGCTACTGTTAACAGTTATTATTTACACAGCACCTTTTCTTATGGAGCTAATAATCCAGAATGGGTATATTTTAAGCAAATGTGTATGTGGCATTTCTAAAAAACACTCTGTTAATTTTAAAACCTTTTGCAATCTTCTAACAAAAAAAAAGTTAAAACAAGTAGATCAATTTTAAACCACCTGATAATATAATTTTTCTGTTGCCAAAAGTGGTGTTCTCTATAGTCACATACACATGCTGTCTCAATGCTTACCTATTCATAGTTTCCGTACACTTGTTTTAGATGGGAAAAAAAATACTCTATTGGGGCTGGTGGTGTGGCTTAGCATTCAGGAGGCAAAAAGGAAAAAAAAAAGGCCCCCACAAAGAACACTGTATTAAGCAATACAATCGTTATTAAATGAAATAACTATTAAGTCTAGATCAAAGGATTATTTCAATCCAGAAAACGTTTAAAGTATACATCCAAATGGGCACAAAACCCACTGAACACGGGTGTTGCTGGCTCCCACACCTGTTGCCTGGATCCCCTGAACTTGACAGTCTAACTGAACTACTTATTGCACAGTAAATGAGAGCAGATCAGGAAAGGCAGGGTTTATGTGATTTAAATTATTACCATATCCCATGACCCAAGGGCCTGTGTGGCTACCAAGAGGTCTGGGGCAGGAGTCCAAGTTACCCAGTCCCTGCCACATGACAAGGGCCCTATTCTCAGCTGGAGAGGCCTTTGAAGYAGCCAATAGATCTTTAACATCAGGGTGCACACAGCTACCATGAGGGCCTCCAGGCATCAGCTGACATACTGCTGTCCAAAATAAGAAAGCAAACGTGAAAAAGTAAAATAAAATAAAATAAATATTCTCACAGCTAAGTCCTTTGAATTTGGGACCAGTACCTTTTCCCCGTTGCAAATTCACATGAAATAAAACAGGTTTCTTGAACAAAAGTTTTGAGATATAGGAAGAAATGGGATTAACAGAGAGATGAAGAAAATAAAGTGCTTTGTCAAAGGTGACAAGATTAGTAGGGTGGCAACAAGGGAGGGAAATAGAAGAAGAGGCCGGGAAGGGAAGGAGGATTTAGGAGCGCCAAGGAAACGGGAAAAGAAACTCTAGGGGAAAGAGCTTCAATAGGGAGGGCAAGGCCAGAGGGAGAGCGCCAAATGACAGGAGGACCCTGGCGACGGTACCTGAAGGAGGGGGACTCAGCAGAACCAGCGTCTTTCCCCGACACTGTGGGTTGGACAGATATCGACCCTAGATGCTGAGCACGTGCCGGGGAGGAGATGCGAGCTCTGGCTGCCTCGGGGAACCGCAGGCGTGGGGCCGGTCCCGGGGCTGCAGGGCGGATGGGAGAAGCGCGGGGCGCGGGCGCCTGGGGCTCGGCAGGGCAGGGAGCCGGGTGCCGCGCGCGTCCGCAGGCTCCGGCAGCGCCGCTACTCACCTCTCCGAACTGGAAGGCGGAGACGATGGTGACAACGACGCCCACGAAACAGACGTAGAGCCCATACCTGTGGGACAGGCAGGTATAGGTCTGTCTCTGCAAGAGCTTGAGCAGCATCACCCCGGCCGCCGCCACGCCACGCCCGGAGGAGCCAGAGCCGCCTCCGCCGTCTCAACGAGCCGCCATTCAGGGGCCCCGGCTGGGCCGCGGCGCTCAGGTCACAGCCTCCCGGCACCGCGCATTGCAGCTCGGAGGACTGACGCCCGCTGGGCTAGGCGCCGCGGCAGCCGCTTCCGGGAGCCGRGAGCCCACGCCCTCCGCGCAGCGGAGGCGGACCCCAGGTCCGCGAGGCGGCGGGCGCCGCCCGGGTCTGGCCCGGCGAGAGGCGGCGGCGGCGGCGGGGATCGCTAGCGCCACCTGGAGGGTTGAGGGGCAAGAGCAGCTGCGCGCCCTTCCGTCTGCGCGTGCGCGGCAGGCTCTGCGGGGTGGGCTGAGATCCACCAACCCGGTTGGACAGGCAAGCGAGAGAGGACCAGCCCCCCGAAGCCAGGCCCAGCCTCAGAMGGTGCTGACAGCTGGAATATTATTGTGCGTAAAGATTCCTCCGGGCTGGGATGTAGCTCAGTGGCAAAGCGTCTGCCTTGCATTCGCAAAGCCCTGGGTTCGACCCCCAGTTCCAAAAAAGACAAAAAAAAGAACCCCACCAAAAAAAAATAAGATTAAAAAAAAAAAAAAAAAAACCTTTTCCATCCTGAACTAAGAAATCATGGTTTTTCCCAGCGCTTAGAAGAGACACTATGTGGAACTTAACCCCAATCCCTGACACCTACCCCCCAACCCCGGTTCATGTTCTTTTAAAGAGGAGACCTTTGGGTTAATATGTGGAACCCGAAGTTCATTTATTCATTAAATACGTTTTTATTATTTTGGTGCCTGGTGCTCGGTGTCGATTATTCAGAAATTGTTTCTCAGGGAGTCTAGTGGGGGAGATAAACATGTAAACCACTAAATATAAAAGAGTTATGATAGAAATCGTGCAACATGCTGGAAGGGAACCAACGATGGCACATCTAGTTCTAGTTTAGCACCTGGTTATTTCCAGGCTCAAAGCAAGGGAGCCAACTGATCATCAACTGAAACCTCCAAAATCGTAAGCCAGAATAAACCTTTTTTTTTTTTTAATAAGTGCATTATCTCAAGTATTACAGTCAAAGAAAGCTAATAGAGATGATGGGGAAGATAAGGCTTAAGGACTAGACGTGAGGGGTGGGAAGGGAGGCTGGCCATGTTGAAGGCGCTGAATTAAGGCAAAAAGAGCTGGAGGCATAGTGAGATGGAACTAGAGAGTTTGACAGGGCTTTGAAGGCCCAGTTAAATTTGAATTTCAGACAAACAATGCATATTTTAGCATAAATATATACCATGCAGTATTTGAAACATACTTACACTAAAAAAAAAATATTTTCACATTGAACAGAAAGCTCCGTGTTTTACTTGATAGAAATATTCTAAGTCACTCTGACAGCCCTATGAGTATCTGCTTGTGAGTTTAGACCAGTCTCTAGAAAGTCCAACTCAGGGTTGAAGTATTGGCTGTCCAAAGATATAAAACAACATCMTCCAATTAACTTTATCAGACAAAAAGCTAATCGCCAACTGTATATAACCTAGAGCAGCTTTCTCAATTACTTCAAAACTCAGGAGACAATGAAAATTTTTTTTTAGATCTTGAATCTAAAATATCAACCATCTTTGAATGTTTTTTTTTTTTTTCTCAGCCATGATATAAAATGAACAACCAAAGTTAACAATCTTGCACAAAGAGGAACCTCTTGCCCCTGGGCCTGCATGTATTTTATGTGTATAAATGATATGTTTGGAATGCATAAGCTAAGAAATTTGATAGAGTTGGCATATATTAAAATTTGATAAGTTGAATTGCAATGTGTTATTTAAAAAAAAAAAAAACTAGAGTGTCAGGGAGAATAAAACTAAAATTTGAGGTAGGATTCCTTGGAGGGCTGGGGGTGTAACTTAGCTCTAGCATGCTTGCCTGGCCTGTGCAAGGCCCTAGTTTTCATCCCTAGCACTGGAAATAATAATTCATTTGGAGAATTAACTGGCCCTAGATAATTTTTGTCATTCATCTAGTTTTTAAAATCTCTATTGTCTATGTTATTACTCTCTGCTTGTTCATTTCATTATGATTACTTATTTCAATCTTATGTTTTTGTTATTGTTGTTTTTCCTTTTTGAGACAGGGTTTCCCTAAGTTGCCCAGGCTGGCCTCAAACTGGTACTCCTCCTGTCTTAGCCTCCCAGCAACTGGGATTACCATCTTGCCCCATCATGCCCATCTTTTCATATGGCTTCCTATTTCATTGGTTTGTGCCTTTATCTTTGTAATTTCCTTTCCTCTTGTTCTCTTTGTTTTGCTGCACTTGAACTAGTTTCTGAAATTTAATGTTTAGATAATTTTTTTCAGTCTTTATTGTTTTCTGATTTTTGTTTGTTTGATTGTTTTTGCAATTCTGGGGATTGAATCCAGAGTCTCATGTGCATTGTTTTTTTTTTTTAATAAATCATCCCCAAACTATAAATTTCCCTCTAAAACTTCTAATTTAATCTTCTAAAGACTACTAATTTTATCGCATCCTATAGATATTGGCATCGAATTCAGGTGCACAATGCAAGATAGGGTGCTGCTCTGGGTGTCAGGTCCAGGGCTCACTGTATCCCCATCAAGGTAACCAAAGCAAGGTGATCATCAGACTACCCCAGGGCAGCAAGATCACTAAAAGAGTGTATTCTCTGGGCATGCATGACTGCAGCAAAGCACCAGTGCTGGTCTCACATACTCATCTACTAATTCACCATGCAACAGGAGTAAAGGAAAATCAAAACCACAGGCTGGAATCAGGAAGAGGAGTCTCCTTCTTTCTGCAATATCCCTTTATCGCCCTCTACTGACAAAATTTAGCATCACTGCAAAGGAGATCCCCCTAAGTCCAGTGCATTAACACAGAGCCTGTTAAATGAATTTGGAGCTGAGAGGCAACAATTGACTACTGACACAACCCAAAAGCTAGGGGTCCAGGTATAATTTATATTCTTTTAATCAGATGAATTCACAGATCTCAACCTGGAAAAGAGTTACATGGAGAAGATGGCAGGGCAAAGGACACCTCTGTTTGCTAATGTRAATCAAGGTAGATGGGGTGTGGTTCTGCAGGCAATACTGCTTCTGTGGAAGGCACCTGATTCCGCTCATTGTGATCCTGACAGTCAGCAGCTCCCTTGGCAGCTCTGTTCATCTGAGGTTTTAGAAGCTGATCCTACAAATTCCCTGTGTTCAACCCTCTCAGCAGTTCATGAGTAAACCAACTTAATTCCTTTCTTTATCATTTTTAATTACTTTTTTTTTTTAGAGGTGCTGGCGATTGAACCCAGCAAACACTCTACTACTGAGCTACACTCCCAGCCTCCCAACCTATTTCCTTTCTGCTTTAAGCAGCAAATGGATTCTTCAATCTACAAATAATTAATCTGACTAAAACATGGTAAAAGAATATAGTTTGCATGACATTAACTCTCTAGAATTCATTGAAGCGTCTTTTATTGCCCAGTACACAGTCTGTTTTTGTTAAATTTCAGATTTGTTAAAAAGAATATGTTTACTCTCTATGTCTCTCTTTCTCTTTTAATTCCTAATTTCATCCCTGTATAAGTTCTCACAAGCCTTCATTTGACAGTAGGTTCTATTTCTCAGGTCAATATCAAGTCCTCCATGATATACTTTGCAAAACATAACCATTTGCAAAAGCTAACTCCTACCCTTATGTTTGAAAGTTGGATTAAATTCCTCATCTCTAAGCAGTGAGGACTCACAGATATATTTGATTGTCCATAAACACTGATTATCACATCACAATGTTAAGGGCATAACTAAATATCTTACAGCCAGCTTTTGGAAGATTGATACAGGCACTCTGATTTTCTACTGCAATGCTTTGACAATGTTCTAAATTTATCATAGTGATTAATAGCTGCATTGGGGGGGAAAAAGACTATTTTCTTCTCCTCTCACACCACAATCAACATAAAGATTTCTATGATGGTCAAAAAAGTGTGTGGATTCTTCCTACCAGTAAGCAGGCAATCAGTTCTGGAATGGGGGACACCAGCTGGGCCTCCTCTAATCCAATTCAGTTCTCAAACTACCTGGAAAAAGTGTCAAGTCCCACAGGTTGAGAGCTCAGTTCCTAAAACTGTCCCTTCTCTTTAGATGTCACTCACATGCCTCAGGTTGTCTCACCTGCACTTCTGACCCACTGGTTATCAACTGAGGTTTCCACAGCCCCCTCCTGGGATTTGATTAATTTGCTTGAGCATCTCACAGAACTCAGGGAGGCACCTATTGACATTTACTAGTTTATTATAAAAGACATGACAAAGGTTAAAGGTGAATAGATCAATAGGTGGACAAATGGGGGGGAGGGGCATGGAGGTGTACCAACCTTCAGGATCCTTTACATGTTCATCTATTTGGAAGTTCTCTTAACCCTGTTCTTTGTGGGTGTTTATGGAGATTTAATTGCAAAGGCATACTTGGTGATAGACTAGGTAGGGAAACCCAACAAGATCTGCTTCAACTTTCTTCTTGGTCTCTCTGAGCAGCATTGCTAGCCTCCAGGTTATGGGGCAGAACTCCTCTGGAATCTTATGACCAATTCTCAGACAAAATAGACCAGAGAATTTCGCTGGGCACAATTGTAATCCCAGCAGCTGTACTCCCAGCAGCCCAGGAGGCTAAGACAGGAACATTGCAAGTTCAAATCCAGCCTTAGCAACTTATGGGATCTTGCCTCAAAATAAAAAGTTCTGGGGGATGTGGCTCTGTGTTTAAGCACCCTTGGGCTCAATCCCCAGCACCCAAAACAGTAACAACAACAACAACAAACAACAACAAAACCACTTCATTGTTAGTTCATGGATAATGTTTCTATTTCCATTTACTTCCCCAAATATATCATATATCTATCCTCTCTCTCTCTCTCTCTCTCTCTCTCTCTCTCTCTCTCTCAAAATACCCTGTTTACCTTTTTTAAGAAAAAAATTATGGAAGTACAATTTATGTACTATAAAATTGACTCCACATAGGGGAACAATGGTTTATAGAGCTACAGAATTATTCAACCACGATGCCAATTCAGTTTTAAAATAGTTCTATCACCCTAAAAGCTCTCTTATACCTCTTTGTAGTTAATACTCAATCCCACATCCAATTCTAGGCAACCCCAGATTGGGTGTCTCTCTAAATTTGTCTTTTCTAGACATTTCATCTTGTAACTGGA